AACACCGAGGAACTGCCCACCAATGCCGATTCCAGCAATCTCCGCTGCTTACGCTCCTATATCGTGCTGTGAACGAGACAAGAATGGATCACTTTTGTGAAATAAGGTATCTGCAGGAATTAGGCTTTATAGAAAGTCAACGTTAGCCGAATGATCAAGACGTTTGACAAACGCCTCAGAACTTTTGTATCAGAGTACAAATTTTGACCTCAAATGAGAAAAAGAGAGAGGTCATTTGAGTTTACCATGTTTGCAAGACCGCTTGTAAGTTTGTCACTACCAAAAGTCTCGTATCGCATGAAATTCCTTGAGATAAAATGACATAACTTGATACAGCCTTCAATGTATCGCTAAGCGCCGTTTGGCACATTCGACGCAATGCTCCCAACCATGAGTACGAATGTTCAATATCGCCATCGCATATTTTGAGCCGGTTTTCTTCTCCCTTCTTAGAAAAAAATTAACCTCAATATTCACAGAAGGAAATTGGAAAGCTGTCATACTGACCGTTACAGTGACGGAGTATTAAACAAGAATTAATTATGCGATGAATCACGCTAAGATTCAGCAAATTTGAATGTATGCACACTTCATCGGTACTGAGGACATGATACAAATGTAAGGTGAGCTAGTGTCTCAGATTTATTACGACTACTGCTTTGTAGGCATCACTCTTTTTCTCTAAAGAACATACCTCAATACACTACTAAATGTCCTATAAATTATTTATATTTATATATTGCTTTATGAAGTCCTTTTCCCAGTTGTTGATTGTATAAGAGCAGCTAAATGTGAAGTGTCTGCAGTTCCTCCACATGGCAATACCTGCATAAGCACAAAAACAATAGCTAAAAATGGTCACGAGTGCTGAACAATATTTGTCCCTACTCCAAATTTGTAACTCGCTATCAATTGACACTAATTTCATCTTTCTGATCCTCCATAATCATTTTCCCATGACAGGCAATCATAGACTTCCATCATCGACACACTAAAGTTAGCCTCAAGTCATCATCAAATCCTCGTTGTAAATGACTGTCCATTGCCTCATTATTGTTGTCGTTATATGAGAGTTAGATTGCCGGGGTTTGAATTTACTGCGGCAGCTTACACGAGGTTCACGTAGCATTTCGTGATAAGACGAGCATGCCGTATTGAATTAACTCAACTGTTGCACTTGCTTAAGCCATACTCCACTGAACTTGCCAAAATATACGATGTACTGATGACCTGAGCAAGCATTGTCTACTGATCTAGGTGATAAACATTCGCCTACCCAAGAAAGGAACCTGATTAATTGCATATCGAGTGTGCGAACTTTGAACTACTGCTTATCCAGAGTCAATAGACAATCAACATTTTCACAAATATACAGAAGTATTGCAATTTACAGTTTCATCTTTTTGAGATCAAAAATCCTGTTGCTGTTGGGAAAAGAGTTTGAGGTGACAATCTCATCCCCTCACTCATCATTCATAAGGGCGTCGTAAATGAGATGTAACGAGTTACCATATCATGGGCGTAAAATAAAAATGGCGCTTAATACGTCGTATTTACTGTAGTGGTGATAGCGTTCCTACAAAAATAAACAATAGATAGTAGAATAAGTGCTTACTACTTTTTTTCTAGAAACGACCAGTCAACCAGGCGTCAATATTCAATATACTTCATAATATGTCGGTTTGTACGAATTCTCCACGTCTTCGCATTCCTCAGAGCCGATAGATCAGAGTGGATGACGCGGTCGTTTACCTCGCATTGACTCTTTGTAGTTGAAATGGGTTGGATGTTGTTTTATGGAGCCCACCGCAATCAGAACCTCATTGGACAGTGATTCTTTTCTACAGTTTAGCTCTCGCTTATTGTTTCTGATACGTTGTGTAGTTTGTGCCGTTTCGACCTTTTGATATGATCCTTGCAACACTTTGCTCCAAACAAAAGGCAAAACTAGTAAACAAAGTGTTCTCCCTTGACCTAGATATCTTTTTGCCAATTTTCCAGTAGGAGATCGATTCCTCGTAGCTGTCCTTTCTGCAACCGTATCAACGCCCCAAGTTCCATTAATCTTGTTCACCACTTCACGAGCATTTTCCCCCACGTGCCATCTGGTGTATAAGCAGCTCGCGAATTTGTTTGCAAACAGCCCTATCTTAGAGCAAATATGGCAAACTGTATACAGCCATGTTTGCAAGAAAATGCGCAATTGGTCAATATCAAAACCATGAAATTCCATTGCAGAAGTCATATTATGAAGCCAAAACTGTACGAACTATTTGCTTCACCTATTATTAGGTTATAGAAAAAGTTTCTTAACACCCACTGAAAATCTAATTTATAGATAAATTTAATAAATAACAACAATAATTAATCCTCGAAGTAAGAATTATTACCACCCACGACTTTTTGCCAGCAATCTGCAAGCCTCCGGATCTGCTTGAAATACGATTTCTTCTGCTGTGAATCAAAAAGCTTCTGGTATGCCTCTTCAACTTGGCCAAAAGCTCAAATCGACGTCCACGCAGGAAATGTACCATTGCGAAGCAAGCTGGACCACAGTCAGACGATGCAGCATCAGGACTCTAAGCTGGGTGCGGCAAGACATCGACTCCCTCCACTTCACCAAATTTTCCTTAGTCTTCATTGTGGCGTGAGATTTGGCATTGCTATGCTGAAACAGCGCGCGTTTTCGACGATGAGAGTAAATTAAAACTTGATGCACCATAATTAGCGTCGCCATGGGATTTCATCTAGAAATATCCTGGAAATAATCCCATGAATTCACAATAACCGGAACCACACATAAGCTTGAATTTTTCGCGAGTGTTGAAGAACTTTTTCAGATTGCGTTTTACATACACGGCGAATTTGCTTGCCGGCTAATGTGTATGCTGGCCGTGAAATAATACGGTGGTCGTTTGATTGCGCCAGCGCGCCTCACATGTGGAGCAAAATTTTTGTTATTCAATTTGAGATTTGTTCTCCGCTTTGAAATAAACTTCATAAAAAGACGTATGACCTTGAAGCTACAAAATTTTCTCTACATGTTCATGCACTTTTCGTGCTTCTAGCAAAGTTGTGAGTAGTGATAGCACGTGGCCAGTGTAAGATATAATTTTATTCCGAGTGCTTCAGGATTATAAAAGAGAGTTTTAGAAAAAGACAACTTATTGCAGTAGTCAGAGATTTGAGTTTTCGAATGCTTACTAGCACTCTTACAAAAATTCTTTGTACAGCGAAAAATCAATTCTTCCTTTGTCCTCGTCTAACAAGAAAGAACGAAATTATCGTCTATTCTTTTGATAGCAGAGAAGAAGTCATTATGGCAACTTTGAAAAATGCATCATAATGCAATACGCATAACCAGCACTATTATAAGAATCACTGCTCTGAATGCTCGAAGTTAATGAAGCATAATAAACGCACAATATCAGTGGACTAACCTTCAAAAAGCAACGAAAGGGTTGTAGCAGTAAAAATGTCGAGGTATCAGAAAATTCAGAAACCTAAGTAAATTTGAAATCCTCCGTTAGCCGCCAAACGTTAGTGTTATATACATGCTGTGTTATACAACACATTAGTGTTATATAGCACTTTAATCCAGGTGTTTCCTTTGCCTTTTTATAAGCAAGTTTCAGCTCTATTAGTGTGGTGAATATCACGTGAGATAGGTGAAAAGATAGTTGCACGTTCAACCCTCAACTGAGAATCCGAGCTCTGCCACCGATTCTATGGTATAACTTGAGTCAAAAACAGGATTATCAATCATGATAACAATCACAGAATTCCACAAGTTGTTGGAAGTAACTTACAAGTCTAATGTCTAATTTAGCAGCATCATAAAGTTTCAGAGGCAACGAAATTGCTTTTGTAGTCTTATCAGCGACTGGATCATTGAACATTTTCTCATCAGAGTATTTATATGATCATATGAAAAAGCAGTTAGTGACAGCATGGTCGTCGTTAGCTAGTGTGAAGGGCAAAGACAGACGTACATAGTTCAACTCGTTGAACTTTCGCAGAATTAGCTGCGTAACATCTGACATAAAGTTGTTGAGCGGTATCAAGAATATCATTATGCAATATGGTAACAAATCATATTAGAATTTTCATAACACTTCCACTGCACCGGATAATGACAATTTTAAGATTTCTTTGCGTCATGAAATTTGCATAACTCGAAAGGCAGAGCTTCTATAAGCTTATTTCAGCAGTTAGTCAATGAATCTTACAAGGTTTTTTTGAGCTGGCCGCGAAACGTCAGACAACGAAACACAATGACATAAAAACAACGGAATTAACTGACACCACTCTATCTTAGCTCAGCAATGACAGATCGTAGACTTATATATGGAAATTTTTGATGAAAAGGCTTCTAGAGAATCAATTTTCTTAATTTTTACAAAATGTACCAACAGGGCACTTATTAGTTGTAAAAGAGGCATCATAATTGAGACAAAAGATCGTTCTTATTCGACAAAACATCTACTCTCTCTGCCATCGCTCAGGTGGCCGAATACCCGTAACATAATCAAATATTGTAAACTAGAATAAATATGCGGCTTACTGAATAAATCCCGTTATCTAATGAACATCTAACTGCGATTAATACTCTTTTCATTACGATGTGCCGATACTAATAGAGGGGCGCTAAATGTAGCCGCTATTTTGAGGATCACCTAGTGTTTCCGGTTTTGTTCCAGCCTCTTCATTCTAGTACTTTGATTTCGCATCGTACTTCGCTATTAAAGCGATAGGTAGTGAGTTAAAGAACTTGAATTTTGCTATATAGAGACAATCGCATATTTTGCAACTAAAAATGCAGCTTTTACGTGAAGCACTTCGATTTAAACAAGATCGATTAAATTCTCAATTAGAGAAGTGAGGATCAAAAGAGCTGTATTGTGTTTACAATCAATCAGAATTATTCTAATCTGACCGCCTTTAGCAGTAGTAAGATGTTATAATATAATCAATGATAAAGAGCGATGTGCAAAAACATTTGCGTCAGTTGGGATTCGAACCTAGCATTCACCCTATCAGGGGAGGGGGGGGGGGACGTGCTGAACCGTTGCACTACCGACGCCAGCACGTAGGGTGAAATATTTCAAATCCCAGCTGGCGCAAATATTTTTGCACATCAGTCTTTATCGATATATTGTGTTTAGCATTTGGAGGATCGCCTTTGGAGGAGAATCAAGGGGGGGGGGGTCATTTTCGATCAGTCTTTTAGGTCAAGTGCTAAAGTGACCTTACGCAGAAAAATTCGCAAATCTTTTAAACAAAACGCGTAGGCAACTCTGTCATCAAAACGCCACAACACCGTATACGGAAGCCCTGAGAGTCAACCTAACATGAACAATGTTCCAGATTAATCAGGGGTCATCGTATTAGGAGCTATGACACTCCCCTATAAGCGCGCTCACTGCTGGAAATGGGCACAAGTTTCTCACCAGAGCAACCTATTTCTGTGGAAGCCGTGAAGCCGTTATCGCATGCAGATTCAGATTCAGATCAATGACAAGGAAAGGAAATTTGTAGTTATTTCCAATCAGTTGAATTTTGCGATAACAAAAATGCATCTTGAAGATACCACATTTTATCGTCCATCATCTGATAAGAAATTCTAAAACAATCTCGGAAATTGAACAAAGAATGGGTAAAAATAGCAAGCTCGTCCTGTTCAAAACCTTCAGTTATTTCTTTACTAAAATTTAATCCACCATCATGTTCCGTCATATACTCACTCATTAAAACTCATAGGCTGGTATGCACTGATGAATTTGCGTCTACTAATCCATCAAAATTCAAAGTTAGATCCACCACCAGTTGTGTAGGGAGTCCAACGGATAGGATAACGTGGTTTATAGACTCAACACTATTCTAATTACCAAAACACATTCCAGCCCATCTCACCAATACACCTAAATCTTTCTAGACCATCTAAGTAACGTGTCACCCAACAACATGTACACAACGGAATCTTTCAACGTAACCGGCCTTTATGAAAAACGTGTTGATTATGTCCGCAATTCAACCCATATACGAGCTTCCAGCGGAGCACGAGAGGGCCACAAACATGTGTGGCTTCTCTATCCGGCAGGTTTAAACTCTCTTCAAAGAGCGCAAAGAGTTTTGAATTTTTAAATGGTCCGTGAACTATTTTTGCATAAATCAGAGGGCGGCAATGGGACAACGACTAGCTCCAACCCTTCTTGCTGTGGCCTTTATGTCTAAAGCGAAGAGCCCAGTAATCGATAACCGGCCGTTACTCTACTGTAGGTATATAGATGATTGCTCTGTTGTGTGCTCAATCCAAGAGGAGATGGAGAAATGTTTTGAGTTTTTGAATAGTCAGCCAGAGTGCATAAAGTTCACTCAGTGAGAAGCCGAAAGCAAATCTCTGAAAACTCTTACACCCGATAATACGAACACAAGCAACAAAACATCTTCCTTCGAGTGCTTATTGAGACACGCTCAAATTTCAAAGATCCTTTCATACTATTTGAGTCAACATATCATGTGCTCTGGTAAGGGCCTTGTACAACACGATAATGTACTGCAAGAACCAGAGCGAGCCAAAGACACATTCGTCCATCATCCCATCCATCACACATAAAACGAGCGCTTCTAAAAAACATGTTTCGAACAGCGACCAATATGTGCACAGGAAAAGAATACAAGGTAGAATTTTAAGCCTAGTGCGAAAAATAGTCATCTCCAATAGCTATGTTACGGTAGGAGCATTTCAGGTTAGCTTTAGAGAAGATTCTATTCCCCTAATCGACAGAACTAGCAAAAATAAGCTTCCTCTCCCCTTGACTTTTATTTCCAACGAAGTAAATACAGTTATTGAACGTTGCCTAAAGAGAGCAGGTTTGGATAAGTCGCTAGCTATAGTTGAATGCCCCAAAGACACTAATCGCCAATTAGTTCGCAACCGACTGTATAACGGCCTCTGCGAAACGAATGACTGCCAAGTTTGCTTAAACGGCAGAGACGGCGACTGCATGAGATCGGGTACAATTAACCTAATCGCTTGCTAGGCATGCGGCGATGAGTATATTGGCCAAACGAGTAGACCACTATTCCTCCGTGTTAACGAGCACCTAGTTGGATTACGCAACTCTGATCCAAAAACCCCACTAGGCACGCATAGAGACCAAAAACATGCAGTAATAATGTTCGGCGTCAAAATCACAATCCTCGCATAGAAACCAAAAACATCGCCGCGTAAAACCATATGAGCCTTTTGGATACATAGCATAAGCCCAAAAATGAACCAAAAAGAGGAGTTAAAAAAGAGGAGTCGCAATTACGCTTGACCTCGAACCATACCTCAGGCTGATCTTTCCGGCCTGTGTTAGGCACAGCCCACTGATGCACTGACCTTAAGCGGCTGGTCATCAATGAATAATTAACAGACCTACGACATCAAAATGGTGAGTGTTTTAAGATTAAGCTTTTACTATACGATTCAAAATTTATATCTTACGTTTTCTGTTGGGGTTATGGAGGTTTTGGCCTGGTGGATTCGTGAGTCAATTTGATTCTTTCAGGCTCTGAAGAACGCGACCCTCGGGAACGTAGTCACCACGATTATTGTAATATTCATGCTGCATCACTAACTGTATTGTCGTACTACTTCGCTAATATTCAATAAGTAATATCACTAATATCTCGCAAAGGCTTAGCAGAAAAACTCTTCATTCATTCAAAGTATGCCGAGGTTAATAGGTAGTCGGTCATGGGAATCAAAAACTTATAACAAGGTGGTGATTATGAATAGCAAATAGCGATACCAAGTTCGCTTCAATGTCTTCATTCTTAAGACCTCATGCATTAGCATGACGATTGAATATTGTTCGATTCTGTTATTACGGCCGAAAGGCCTAGTAAATGGTAGCTCTTGACCTGCACGTGAACAAACGCCTCCACTAGAGTTAAACGCGTTAGGTAAAAATCAGATGAAGAATGAAGGTGCACTTCTGGAACTTCACCTCAGATTCCAAAAACATTTTTGTTATCCTAGCAGTATGAACTGGAATAAAGAACATAAAAAGCAGAAAAATTTTTGTAGGGTTGACTTACCATCACAAATGGACTTTTTCAAGTGTAGGCCGAAAACTACAAATGATTTTCGTAATCGGTATGACAGTTTAGTTTCAAAGGCAAAAATTGGAGCAAGGAAAGACCTTTGCACAGATTAGACATATGAAGAAGTGAGTGAAAGGAACTTTGCAATTACTGTTCGAAGTAATAGATGGGAGACGCCGTGGCCGAATGGCTGTGATGTTGGTCACAGCGCGCGTGGAGCCGAGCTCCATTCTCCACTTATCTCCGGCAGGCAGCAACAGTGTGAAGTGCTAAAAGTAATTACTGAGGATACACTATGAGCACTTCACGCACATTACTCAGTCTCTATTACAGAAATTACAGGTGGGGAGTAGCAATCTAACATAGGAACATTCCAAAAGGCTTTTGCTAGCTGGACAATATTTAAACTATATCTGGTGCCGTAAAAGTCTGTCGAGAGTACAATCCGCAGATCGCTCTAATCTAAGTCGACTAAAATCTATGATAGCGTCAAAGCAAATGTATTTCTTACTAACGCCGTTGACCAATAAGGAAATCCTTCAAACAGAAAACTTTTACTGATTACTACACCGATTGTGCTGCAAAAAGCTATTTTATCGACTTCTTTTTGCCTTTAAAAGGAAAAAAATAAATCGATAATGCAGTGTTCATTGCCAATTTTGTCCGCGGTTACCTTGAAGTGATTAGCGACGATACGTAATTGGTCAAAGTGCACACTAATGGATAAAGGATCAGGATAAAGCTCTTGGCGTTGGTCAATCCCTAAGGATGCGCCATGCATTCGACTTCAATTTTTAACTTCGTTTGAGCTGATTGAATGCATATCGGGCCTTTACAATGACTCGCGGTGGCCTCCCGCTGAACCGAGTCAGTGCTGCTTATCCTCCCAGACAAGTCTGAGACCTGTGTGGTACCAGTTCACCGACCCCGGAGGGATGGATGGCTTGGTGAGCCATGAGCGCAAGATCGAACCATTGACCTCGTGTGCGACGCAGAGCACCTCTAACCACTGCGCCACATGCGCTCACACTAATGGAAGGCCTCACTAATGCTCTTTCTCAAGGAGATCTTCACCTTTATCAAGCATGACTAGTTGAGCATAGGCCATAACCTGACTTCTCAGGCAATTGAAACCAGTAGTCAAGGCCTCTTGCTCTATAACTAGGTATAATCCGGCAATTGTAAAATAGCTCTATTATTCTGCATTAGCTAGCTGCTTGGCTGAAAGACCAAACTAATTAAATTGGCATCACGCGAGATGAACATTTGTGTATTGCAGTCAACGATGCTGCACCACGGCTACTTGGTAAAACCCTGATAGAACCAGTGAACTACAAATTCGAGCTCTTCAGCGAATGTAGAGTTCGATAGATATCAAAATCTACTGCCACTCCAGCGGGATGATTCGAGTGCTTCTCACATCTACTATAACAATTCAATTCAAAAGCTAAAAGCGCTAAAAGCGCAGTAGTCCGAATTGCTCTGGAATGCTCATCTGGTTCACGGTTTGGGTATTGCGTCAGTCTCACCACCTCTTTCAGTTCCTCGAGATCATCATGTGATTGACCGACTATCCGTCAGGATAGCAAAACTGACAGGAATAAATTAATAGGTCACTTCAATTTGCTACAAAAGCTGGGAATTAAGTCCTTCAAGCATCACTCAGGGCATTAATCTAAGTCAAACGCGTTATCCTTGAACTCTTTGTATCCAATGTCTTTACAAGAAATGTGGTTGGTTCAATCTACAGTATGTTCATGTGGCATCAAATTTGATATTTACAGGTGACATCGAAATGTGATAATCAGCATTCGCTAGGGAACTTGAATTCCTCTCTGCTCATTCGTTCTCCCACTGTTTCACCAGGTGATCGCGGTAAGGTGTCCTTGGCTACAATACACAGGATCAAACCAATTTGCTTAAGCTATCGGATTCAATTGCCTAAAGTACCGACAGGACAGGAAACATTGTCTGTGCTTGATCGCTGCG